TCTAAATATTTTTAATTTCTTCCATTTTTACGCACTTAAATTTCATTTTTTTAACCTCTTTACATTTTGCTCTCCGCTCACCTCCTCCTTTATTTCAATTTCAATTTTAAAATCCTAATTTTAATTTCCGTTCGCTTAAAACTTTGAAATTCCTCATCGAAATTTTAAATTTTTTTTTTTAATTAATTTATTTTATTTTTTTTTTTTTACGGTCTCCTGATTTATTGTAATTTCTCCTGTTTTTTTTTTTTTTTTTTCGAGGCAAGAATGGAACCATCCTTCAAATACAACCGGCCTCGGAGGGCCAAACCTCCTCCCTGGGCCCCAAAAGGACTTCTTCCCCCGCGATGCCGACGGCCCCCGCCCTCACCGTCCCTCCCCAATCTACAAATTTTCCTTTCCATTTCAAATTCCCGCTTTTTTTGGTTTGTTGGGTTTTTTTAAATTATGTTAGTAATACTATTCTTTTGGCCCCCTGTTTTCCTTTTTTCCTTTTTTTTTTTATTGTTAAATTGCCCCTATGGAATGTGGCGGAGAGAGAAGGGGGGGTGGGGGGGTGGAGGGTTGACTTTTGTGTGGCCCTGGCGGACGCCGCGGGGTCTCCGTTAGATCTCGTTGTGCTCTCCGATGCCGCCGCCCAAGTCGTACTCACTGGAGCGCGGCGACATCCCCAGGTACTGCTTCAGGAACTCGCTAAACCTCTTCTGGTTGTTCCACTTCCTCGCCGACTTGCGGACCCCGATGAAGCCCCCGTACCGCTTCTGCACCCCCTTGGCCGCCGGTGCCGCTCGCCAGCCCAGCCCGAGCCGGCGGGAAATGTCCTCGGGAGGCTGCGGGAAGGCTCCCGGCGCGGCTCCGTCGGCGTCGCGGCGCCGCGAGGGGTTCTCCGGCGCCACGCCGGGCCACGGCTCGGCGGCGAGGTCGCGGGCGCGCGGGGACGCCCGGCTGGCGGCGGCACACAGCTCCCAGGTGGCCCGCGGCACGGCCTCGCCCTCGCACTCCAGGATGCAGATCTGGGAGGGGGAGAGACAGGGGGGTGGGTGTCAGTTGAAGTTTTGGTGTTCCCGGGAATGTGAGATGTCCCCCGAATCGGGGACTTGTAGGATGGGTTGAGAGGGATGGGTTGGGTTGGGTTGGTTTGGGATGGTTTGGGATGGGTTGGTTGATGGGGTTGGGAGGGTTGGGTTGGGTTGGGTTGGGATGGGTTAGGTTGGGTTGGTTTGGGATGGTTTGGAATGGGTTGGTTGATTGAGTTGGGAGGGTTGGGTTGGGATGGGTTGGGAGGACTGGGTTGGGATAGAAGTGTTGGGTTGGTTTGGGAGGGTTGGTTTGGGATGGGTTGGGAGGGTTGGGATAGTTGGATTGAGTTGGGTTGGGTTGGGTTGTGTTGGGATGGGTTGAGTTGGGAGGGTTGGGCTGGGTTGGGCTGGGTTGGTTTTGGAGGGTTAGGTTGGGTTGGGAGGTTTGGGTTGGGTTGGGAGGGTTGGCATGGTTGGAGTGGCTTGGGTTGGGTTGGAATGAGTTCGGTTGGGTTAGGAGAGTTGGGATGGGTTGGAATGGGTTGGGTTGGGAAGGTTGTGTTGGGTTGGGATGGTTGGGTTGGGTTTGGTTGGTTTCAGGTGGGTTGGAAGGGTTGGGATGGGTTGGATTGGAGGGTTGGGATGGGTTGGGTTGGGTTGGGTTGGGAGGGTTGGATCAGGTGGGGATGGGTTTGATTGGGTTGGATTTGGTTGGAAGGGTTGGATTTGGTTGGAAGCGTTGGATTGGGTTGGGTTGGGTTTGGTTAAGTTGGGAGGGTTGGGTTGGATTGGATTGGATTGGATTGGATTGGATTGGATTGGATTGGGAGGGAGCCCAGAGGTCATCATTAAACTCCCGGTGCTCCAACATCCGCCCACTTCCAGCCCATCCAGCCATGCAATCCACTGGAAGACACCCAGGAAAAGTGCCGGCAGCTCATCAGCACTTCCCTGGACTCATTCCCCTCCCAGATCCCGTTCCTGGGCTCCCGGAGGTGGTGGTGGTGCTGGAGATGCTGGGAAGCCACGGCAGTGCTCAGCATCCCTCTCCTGATCTTCCCTAAGTGGGCTCTGCTCCTGGATGGACACACTCCACACTTCCCAGGGAATTCCACACTCCTACTCCACCACTCCCTGCTCTTCTGGGTCTTCCAGCTGGGCATGAGCCCAAAAAGTTGGCGAATCATGGGATGGAGGAGGTGGGAAGGGATGGTGGAGGTGGGAAGGGATGGTGGAGGTGGGAAAGGAGGGTGAAGGTGGGAAGGGATGGTGGAGGTGGAAAGGGCTGGCAGAGGTGGGAAGGGATGATGGAATTGGGAAGGGATAGTGGAGGTAGGAAGGGATGGTGGAGGTGGGAAGGGACTGTGGAGGTGGGAAAGGATGGTGGAATTGGGAAGGGATGATGGAGGTGGGAAGGGATGGCAGAGGTGGGAAGGGACAGTGGAGGTGGGAAGGGATGATGGAGGCAGGAAGGGATCGTGGAGGTGGAAAAGGTTGGTGGAGGTGGGAAGGGATGGCAGAGGTGGGAAGGGATGGCGGAATTGGGAATGGATGATGGAGGTGGGAAGGAATGTGGAGGTTGGAAGGGATGTGGGGGTGAAAAGGAATGGCAGAGGTGGGAAGGGATGGTGGAGGTGGGAAGGGATGGTGGAGGTGGGAAGGGATGGCGGAGGTGGGAAAGGATGGCAGAGGTGGGAAAGGATGGTGGAATTGGGAAGGGATGATGGAGGTGGGAAAGGATGGTGGAGGTGGGAAAGGATGGTGGAATTCAGAAGGGATGATGGAGGCAGGAAGGGATGGTGGAGGTGGAAAAGGTTGGTGGAGGTGGGAAGGGACTGTGGAGGTGGGAAGGGACTATGGAGGTGGGAAGGGATGATGGAGGTGAGAAGGGATGGCAGAGATGGGAAAGGATGGTGGAATTGGGAATGGATGATGGAGGTTGGAAGGGATGATGGAAGTGGGAAAGGATGGTGGAGGTGGGAAAGGATGGTGGAGGTGGGAAGGGATGGCAGAAGTGGGAAGGGATGGCAGAGGTGGGAAAGGCTGGTGGAGGTGGGAAGGGACCTCTGGCATGTCCCCATGGCACATCCTGGTGCCCGGGGTTGTTCCTCCCCAAGGGCAGGACTTTCCTCCTTGTCAATCCTTCCGAGGTTCCAGCCAGCCTGTTTCTCCAGGTTGTGAAGGTTCCTCTGGATGGCGGCAGCACCCGGAGCTCTCCCAGCCGGCTCTGCGTTCCCGGCTGATCACCGAGGGTGCATCCATTCCCGCTGCTCCCGTGATTTCTTGTCCTTCACCCCCTCGGAGCTGCTCCGTCGGGTGATGTGCTCCAAGGATTGAGGGGAACCCGACTGGAGCTTCCCAGATCCTCCTTTGTGCCTTCCAGGTGTGACATCGGCCTCCTCCCAGCTCCCAGGAACCGGCCACCGTGTCCCTTCAAAAGAGGCGTCATCGGCCTTCCTCGGCACCCCTGCCCTCATCCCACCACGTCCGTGCCTTATCCCTTTCCGAGAGGCCTCATCCATCAAATCCGGACGCCGGCCTGGCACCGGGACCACCGAAACCAGCACCTGGGGAAAACCATCCAGGAGGAAAAACGCGGAAGATCCAAACTAAGCAAACGCCCGAAGGCCGGAAGGCCCAGGAGGGATGAGTCGTCCTCCCTCGCGTGGAACTGTCTCCATCCCACTTTTTATCTTCCTGGTAGACACCAAGCAGGGTTGGAGCACGTTGGTGGGTCTCGTGGCTACAGGTCAAAACCTCTGGAAAGACTCTCTCCACCTCGGGATCATCGCCTTTGCCGAGTGGGAGGCGCCGCGAGTCCCGGCGCGGGACTCTGCGGGAATTGGCGGATTCCAACGCCGGGAGTGGCGTTGGAACATCCAAGAGGAAATTCAGTCGTCTCGGAGGGAGACGGTGACGAGGGTCTGGTAGGGCTGGGACACCTCCCGTGGCGGCACCGGGAGCATCCCGTGCCGAGCCAAGCTCCTTTCCGGGGATCTCCAAGGCTCTGGATGATGGGAGGGGGCGGATCACCAGAGAGCCCCAGGGGAAAGGTTCCAAGAGGAGGTTTTTCCAGAGGTGGGGCTGGAGACCATCAGCGGTCCCGGCACTCACAACATGTCACCGCGGACATCCCGAGGCCCTCGGACATCCCAGAGCCCTCAGATATCCACCTGTGGTCTCCATTCCCATGGAATTGTCTTCTCTCTCCGGGCAGCGGTTTGGGAATCCTCAGCAAACACCAGCCAGTGCTCCTCCGTATCCCGTCTTCCGTCGGCATCAATGGTGCCTCCACGGCTTTGGGATTCATCCATACCTTGATCCACCAGCTCATCCCTATCCTTCCCCGGCATCCACCATGCCCGTGACTTCCGGGGGATCTCCCGCTCCCACCTCTGGAGGAGGAGGGATCGACCACATCGCCGGCAGGAATTCCTTGGCCGTCACTTTGGAAATGCGGCGGAGGGTTGTACGGAATTCCCACCGCGGTGCTTCTTCCGGCTGAAACTGGGCCTGGAAAGACCCCCGAGTTCTTCCGCTCCCGGTTCACGACCTCTCACGGGATCCACGAGCCGCCAGCATTCCCATTCCCTCCCCAGATTCCTGGCTGGGGGAGACGGAGGAGAATTCCACGCGCCTCCGGGAGGAAGAGGGCGATCCCACGGAGCTGCCGGTGCCTTCGCACACCAACCAACATTTTGGGGCCAAACCCGGGGATCCCACCCTGAAATTCGGAGGCAGGGGGCGGCACCGGGGTGGCTCCGGCGTTTCCGTGGGGCCTGGAAGTCTTGGATTTTGTGGGAGGGGGGATATTTTCCAGCCCGGGGGTGCTCCGTGAGCTGCCGGCTCCTTTCGGGGGGATGTCCCATCCCGCCGGGATTTATCATCGCTGATAAAGAGGGAAGTGGGAGGGGGGGAGGTGATGGATAATCCCTCGGGGTGGAGAGGGAATGGGAGGGAAAGGAACACAGTGGAGGGGAAAAGAAGGGATCAGGGGCTGGAAAAAACACCCCAAATTGTTGTTTAAGGGATTTTTCCATCCGGTGTAGGAGGCGAATCCAGAGGGAGGGGGGCTGTGGGTGTTGGCAAAGCTGGTCCCGCCCTAAAGGGGCTCCGAGGGGGATTTTGGGGGCTCCTTGGAGGTTGGGGTGGGGGTCTGGGGTGGGGATGGGTGGGATAGGGATGCCACAAGCTGTGGGGGTGGAAAACTGGGAATGTTCAGGGGTGTGGGGATGCAGGAAAGCCGGGGATGCTCAGGGTGATGCTCAGAGGTTTGGGATACGGGAAAGATGGGGATGCTCAGGGGTTTTGGGATGCAGGAAAGCTGGGAATGCTCAGGGTTTGGGATGCAGGAAAGCCAGGAATGCTCAGGATGATGCTCAGGGTCTGGGATGCAGAATGCTGGAGATTCTCAGGGCTTTGGGATGCAGGAAACTGGGAATGCTCAGGATGATGCTCAGGGTTTGGGATGCAGGAAAGCTGGGAATGCTCAGGATGATGCTCAGGGTTTGGGATGCAGGAAAGCTGGGAATGCTCAGGGCTTTCGGATGCAGGAAACTGGGAATGCTCAGGATTTGGGATACAGGATGCTGGAGATTCTCAGGGCTTTGGGATGCAGGAAACTGGGAATGCTCAGGGTTTGGGATGCAGGAAAGCCAGGAATGCTCAGGATGATGCTCAGGGTTTGGGATGCAGGAAAGCTGGGAATGCTCAGGATTTGGGATGCAGGAAAGCTGGACATCCTCAGGGCTTTGGGATGCAGGAAACTGGGAATGCTTAGGATTTGGGATACAGGATGCTGGAGATTCTCAGGGCTTTGGGACGCAGGAAACTGGGAATGCTCAGGGTTTGGGATACAGGATGCTGGAGATTTTTAGGGCTTTGGGACGCAGGAAACTGGGAATGCTCAGGGTTTGGGATGCAGGAAAGCCAGGAATGCTCAGGATGATGCTCAGGGTTTGGGATGCAGGAAAGCTGGGAATGCTCAGGATTTGGGATGCAGGAAAGCTGGACATCCTCAGGGCTTTGGGATGCAGGAAACTGGGAATGCTTAGGATTTGGGATACAGGATGCTGGAGATTCTCAGGGCTTTGGGACGCAGGAAACTGGGAATGCTCAGGGTTTGGGATGCAGGAAAGCCAGGAATGCTCAGGATGATGCTGAGGGTCTGGGATGCAGGATGCTGGAGATTCTCAGGATTTGGGATGCAGGAAACTGGGAATGCTCAGGATTTGGGATGCAGGAAAGCCAGGAATGCTCAGGATGATGCTGAGGGTCTGGGATGCAGGATGCTGGAGATTCTCAGGGCTTTGGGACGCAGGAAAGCCGTGAACGCTCGGGGGTTTTGGGACCCTCCCGGAGCCATCCCAACCTCGCCCCCACCCTCTCCCGATTTTTGCTCCGCGCCCTTTCCTCGGGATCGTCCCGCCCAAGGGCGGGGGTGGGGCAGGGTGGGCGCTGTCCCCACCCCCGCGGGGGACCAGCAGGGTGTCGTGTCCGTGTCCCCCCCCTCTCCCGGGGGACTCACGAGGACGTCGAAGGAGTCTCGGTAGAGCTGGCGGTCGCAGTGCAGGCAGTCCCCCCGGCAGTCCCCCCGCGCCCGGGCGAACAGGCAGAGCAGCAGCAGGTCCCAGAGCACGGCCCTCATGGCGGCACCGGCCCCCCCCGGCAGCGCCCTGGAAAAAAAAAACGGGAGACAGGGAATTCTCACGCCCCCCGCCTCCGTCACACCGGGATACGGCTCCGTGCGCCGCCGGCACCCCCCGGCTCGCCCCTCGCTTCCCCCCGTCCAAAATTATCCTTTCGGGGAAAAGGAGCCCCGATTGCTCCCCCCCTGTCTCCACCCCGCCCCCCGAAAGGGATCCCAGCTGAGTTTTTTCCAGGTTATCCCATGGCACGAGGCCCGGACGGGGCTTATTTTAGGAGGCGGACGTGGCGGGGCGGCACGTCCCCCCGGCTGTCCCCGGAGCAGGGCTCGCTCCTTATCCCAGCGCTGCCGGAGCCGGGAGAGGATTGTGTGTCCGTCCCCCCTTCCAGTTTTCCTTCCTGGGTGTGTTTTTGGGGCGCTGCCATCCCCTAATC